TTTTTTTTTTTTTTTTTTAATTTTTAAACCAGAAAATAAGAAGGCCAAAGAGTTGAAAAGGAAGCAAGAGTGTGCCTTTATCACGAACATATAACTTTATGGCTGATATATTTACACATCTGCTTTTTAAGGGAAAAATAAAATTACTTGTTCACACAAGATCCTAGACAATATTTAGATCTTCTTTCATTCCAACAGAATGGATGCTGTTTTAGAGAAAATATAATTGATAACAGTAAATTTTATGCAAAATTACATACAACCAGATCTTCTTCCATAAAACCCAAATTCTTATTATTGATTTTTTCAATATAATAAAAAGATAAAAATAGAAACACAAACTGAGTGCTGAATCTAGACCCGATCTTGCTAACTATAGTGGACAACAGTAGTTTTTCATGTGGAATTCTGAATTTAATGGAAGACAATGAAGAGATAACTGGACATCTACACCATGTGCACATCTAGAATCACATGAGTGCAAAAGGACCAAGTCTGATGAGGCAGCTTTTGAATTTGTGAAGTGATTAATAACTTAACATAGGCTTAAGAAGACGAGATTCACAAACTGTCAGTGAACTCTTATTATTACCTGACTTTCTTACAACCTGGTGCATCATCAGAACATTCATATTAGGTTCCTAAATTTAGATAATAAAAATTTACAATAGGGCCACATGATTGTGTGATCAAATGGGTTTTCAGGAGCCAAATATGAGCTCAGGTACATCAGCCTGAGGTGCAGCCTCAGTGCAAAGTGCATGGGTTAGACAGCACCAGAATGGGATGACAGCCTGTTCCCAGAATTTCAGCTGTGCAGCAAACATAAATTCAAAAGTACACAAAACACTGAAGAAATTTATCAAAGATGTTATCTTCCATTTGACATCTCTCAGTTTTTCAGTTTTTCACTGTGAGGGTGACAGAGCACTGGAATAGGTTGCCCAGAGAGGTTGTGGAGTCTCCTTCTCTGGAGACATTCAAAACCTGCCTGGACATGTTCCTGTGTGATCTACTGCAGATGATCCTGCTCTAGCGGGGGGTTGGACTAGATGACCTTCAGAGGCTCCTTCCAACCCCAACTGCTCTGTGACTCTATACCCAAAGTGAAAACCAAAGACCTGCAGATGTCTATGTAAGGAGGAAGTGTGTGGTCCCTGTTTCTTCCTATTGCCCATTAAGGGACTCTAGATACTTAGTTCAGATGTGCGTGCCCACTGATGTTAACTTATGGACAAGTAAATGCCACTTTAGATGCCTGAAAAGCCCTTAAAATATACTGGAGATCATTATAAAGTTTTGGTAACTGATCCCTCTTACTTTCTTTAAGCAGTAAGAGAAATTTATCTGTGGGAATTAGTACTTATTCAGACATTGGTGTTCTGCTTTGACACATGACTACAAGCAAGGAATGCGACATGATTCTCTCCAATTGACTTTCTTACAGGGTCATGGCAATTTTGTGTTCCTGTGAGAACCATGGAAAAAATGAGAGATGTAATCTACCATCTAACGTTGTCATGCTTTCGGTGCATCATGTTTATAGCAGTTTTGTGTGTGACAGAAAGGACAGCTGAGTCCTGTTTTCACTCAGGTCATGTTCCACTTTCTATACATACAAATAAATTGTCTTTATATAAAATAACATTCTAATCAAAAGAATGCTATATACATATATAAAATATGTAATAATAATAAATTGCATTTTTCCAGCCAAAGACTGGTTTCAAACTAACACTGCCTAAAAGTCAAGCAAGTTCAGCAACTACTGGATTTCTCCTTCAGCTCAGTTAACACTGATGTGGTAGAAACCATCTCAACCAACTGATCCAAATCCCACATATGCTGAGTTTTGAGCATTAGGAATATGCTTCTTGCATTTTACAGGGAGTTGAACCAGCTTAGGAGTGATGTTTTTAATTCTGCTTCCTAAAAATATTTGCTAAGCAGTAATCTGAATAAAACCAGTCAGGGCCACATTCTAACTCCTTATTTTATTAAGATGAAACACGAAGACTCAGCTAAACTCAAGAAAAGCTGTGTTGTCAGGATTTTGGGAACACCTTTACAAATTACTTTACATTACATAGCACTTACCATTCACTATTCAGCGTAATAAATAAAATAAATAAAAGAAAAAAAATCAGGTCAGAGTCTTTTCATGTTTCAATTCTGGCTACGTGATCTCCAAAAATATCTTTATTGTAAACTTGTATGTTATCTGTTGCAGTTTCTGTTTCCCTCCATTGCCACTGTCATGCTTCTATTAAAAAAATATTAAATGTTTTTCAAACAAGTATTTAAATACCCCAAATTACCTTGAATCTTCTTATCAAACACTCTTGTTTTTTCAACCTTGTGTTCTTGCCTCCTCTTTCTGAACAATCATTGTAAGAAAGCTTGAAATGATAATTAGATCTGAATATCAGTAAAAAATTACTTTAAATATGTAATGCTTTGGCTACTTGAAGTCTAAAAAAGGAACATGGTACCTTGTCACAGTGTTATGCAGCAGGGTGTACTTTCCCTTCAGCTCAGCTACTCTCGCTTCTGTGATTTTTCCAACAGAACATAGCTATGGAAGGGAAACAGACAGTTATGAAATCTCCTAAACTCTAATATTTTCTTTCTGCTGCAACTTTTTTATAACTATAATTGGCAGCCTTTTAGTTTCTACAGTCTTTGGTAACACACCAACTCAAACACAGAACCAAATTGAATACACAGATGAAAAAATACTTATTTACATTACAATTCAAAGCAAAAATATAAGAATGTAAAGAATGTGCCTGTGACAACTACAGTGCTACCCACACTACCATTATTCTCTGATTTTCTGTATGAATAAATATTTTATTATAATTCTGTCTTGACTTTGAACTCAGGCTCTAAATTACCTTTTTTCCACATTGCTTAGCTGGTTCAGTTTTGGTATATAGCAGCTGGGCTGAGCAGGTGAAACTGAGGTCTGGTTTGTGCTAAATTGGTGCCTCCACAGGCAACATGAAGTCTGATGAGGCAGCTTTTGAATTTGTGAAGTGATTAATAACTTAACATAGGCTTAAGAAGACGAGATTCACAAACTGTCAGTGAACTCTTATTATTACCTGACTTTCTTACAACCTGGTGCATCATCAGAACATTCATATTAGGTTCCTAAATTTAGATAATAAAAATTTACAATAGGGCCACATGATTGTGTGATCAAATGGGTTTTCAGGAGCCAAATATGAGCTCAGGTACATCAGCCTGAGGTGCAGCCTCAGTGCAAAGTGCATGGGTTAGACAGCACCAGAATGGGATGACAGCCTGTTCCCAGAATTTCAGCTGTGCAGCAAACATAAATTCAAAAGTACACAAAACACTGAAGAAATTTATCAAAGATGTTATCTTCCATTTGACATCTCTCAGTTTTTCAGTTTTTCACTGTGAGGGTGACAGAGCACTGGAATAGGTTGCCCAGAGAGGTTGTGGAGTCTCCTTCTCTGGAGACATTCAAAACCTGCCTGGACATGTTCCTGTGTGATCTACTGCAGATGATCCTGCTCTAGCGGGGGGTTGGACTAGATGACCTTCAGAGGCTCCTTCCAACCCCAACTGCTCTGTGACTCTATACCCTAAGTGAAAACCAAAGACCTGCAGATGTCTATGTAAGGAGGAAGTGTGTGGTCCCTGTTTCTTCCTATTGCCCATTAAGGGACTCTAGATACTTAGTTCAGATGTGCGTGCCCACTGATGTTAACTTATGGACAAGTAAATGCCACTTTAGATGCCTGAAAAGCCCTTAAAATATACTGGAGATCATTATAAAGTTTTGGTAACTGATCCCTCTTACTTTCTTTAAGCAGTAAGAGAAATTTATCTGTGGGAATTAGTACTTATTCAGACATTGGTGTTCTGCTTTGACACATGACTACAAGCAAGGAATGCGACATGATTCTCTCCAATTGACTTTCTTACAGGGTCATGGCAATTTTGTGTTCCTGTGAGAACCATGGAAAAAATGAGAGATGTAATCTACCATCTAACGTTGTCATGCTTTCGGTGCATCATGTTTATAGCAGTTTTGTGTGTGACAGAAAGGACAGCTGAGTCCTGTTTTCACTCAGGTCATGTTCCACTTTCTATACATACAAATAAATTGTCTTTATATAAAATAACATTCTAATCAAAAGAATGCTATATACATATATAAAATATGTAATAATAATAAATTGCATTTTTCCAGCCAAAGACTGGTTTCAAACTAACACTGCCTAAAAGTCAAGCAAGTTCAGCAACTACTGGATTTCTCCTTCAGCTCAGTTAACACTGATGTGGTAGAAACCATCTCAACCAACTGATCCAAATCCCACATATGCTGAGTTTTGAGCATTAGGAATATGCTTCTTGCATTTTACAGGGAGTTGAACCAGCTTAGGAGTGATGTTTTTAATTCTGCTTCCTAAAAATATTTGCTAAGCAGTAATCTGAATAAAACCAGTCAGGGCCACATTCTAACTCCTTATTTTATTAAGATGAAACACGAAGACTCAGCTAAACTCAAGAAAAGCTGTGTTGTCAGGATTTTGGGAACACCTTTACAAATTACTTTACATTACATAGCACTTACCATTCACTATTCAGCGTAATAAATAAAATAAATAAAAGAAAAAAAATCAGGTCAGAGTCTTTTCATGTTTCAATTCTGGCTACGTGATCTCCAAAAATATCTTTATTGTAAACTTGTATGTTATCTGTTGCAGTTTCTGTTTCCCTCCATTGCCACTGTCATGCTTCTATTAAAAAAATATTAAATGTTTTTCAAACAAGTATTTAAATACCCCAAATTACCTTGAATCTTCTTATCAAACACTCTTGTTTTTTCAACCTTGTGTTCTTGCCTCCTCTTTCTGAACAATCATTGTAAGAAAGCTTGAAATGATAATTAGATCTGAATATCAGTAAAAAATTACTTTAAATATGTAATGCTTTGGCTACTTGAAGTCTAAAAAAGGAACATGGTACCTTGTCACAGTGTTATGCAGCAGGGTGTACTTTCCCTTCAGCTCAGCTACTCTCGCTTCTGTGATTTTTCCAACAGAACATAGCTATGGAAGGGAAACAGACAGTTATGAAATCTCCTAAACTCTAATATTTTCTTTCTGCTGCAACTTTTTTATAACTATAATTGGCAGCCTTTTAGTTTCTACAGTCTTTGGTAACACACCAACTCAAACACAGAACCAAATTGAATACACAGATGAAAAAATACTTATTTACATTACAATTCAAAGCAAAAATATAAGAATGTAAAGAATGTGCCTGTGACAACTACAGTGCTACCCACACTACCATTATTCTCTGATTTTCTGTATGAATAAATATTTTATTATAATTCTGTCTTGACTTTGAACTCAGGCTCTAAATTACCTTTTTTCCACATTGCTTAGCTGGTTCAGTTTTGGTATATAGCAGCTGGGCTGAGCAGGTGAAACTGAGGTCTGGTTTGTGCTAAATTGGTGCCTCCACAGGCAACATGGTTGTAAAAATTGGAGCTGGGCTCAAGCTAGATCATCCTCAGGTTATAAACATGTTGCTTTACACACCTGTGAAGGCATTTCAGCAAAACACACTCCATGTACGTAGTACTAAAATACTTGTATGTGTGTGATGCAGCATATCCATCTCTGAGGTGATTCCTCAGCTGTCTTGAGGACAGTAATTTGGCCTAATTAACCAGTTCTTCTTAATATAAATAGGACTAGGAGCCAAATTTTGCCACAGGGAAATAACACAGCAGCAAGATGACAGTATCTCCTGGGATACATCTTTAGAAAAACCTTTTCTTTCCCTTTCTTGGTTACAGGTAAGGAGAACTAGGTAAGGTGGTCTGGCTCTAAGTCCACAGTTTGCCCTTTTGGGGCAACAAGTCAAATCTGCAACTTCTATGGGAACCTGCCAAGAAATGTGGTTGTGCAGATCTGAAATACGAAACAAAATTACTACAGCACCAGGAAAATCCCAGAAGTTATACTTCTACACTTACGTATGACACAGCCACCAGAGAAGGGCCTTTTGATGAACTAAGGGCCACTTAAGAGATCCATATGTGGGCTATTCTGTACATTCTCATTTCTTGAATATCAAAGAGAAACTGTTTGGAACCAGTCAAGAAGCAGAACCCAAGTGAACATGCCAGAGGAAGTATAGATTTTGTTGATAGCTATTGGATTTAAGTATTTTTTTAAGATCCACTGCAGAATATTTCATGGTAGCAAAGACAACCTTTGCTGTCTGCAGCCCTGAGAAAAGGAAAGCAGATCTGTCTTTCATTTTTATTTGGATAAGATTAAAGATAAGCAGCTCTCACATGTTTATTTTTGCATCCCTTATGATCCAAATATACTGTTCACTGAAGTTCCCAATGCTAATTAGCTCTTCTGTGAGAAAGAAAGTATTTCCCTATCTAACCCTATTATTTCTTTGCCTGTAGGAATAGTTGTCCTATCTGGGTGGCACCTCCTAATTGTTCTTTTCCACGTTTATCTGTTCTGTACCTCTGAGCTTCACACTGCTTAGCTTCTCACTTCAGATTTAAGCCATGTTTGACAATGTTTCCATAGACATAAACTTGCTTGTCCTTGAGGCTGTGTCTTCTTCTATGCATCCATAAGCTTTTTATACATTTTACACTTAATTTCTCAGTTCAGTTCAGTGCAAAGAGCTCTGTTCCAAAAACTTCTGGTTCTATACAATGTGAAGACATAGCTTTGAGGACTACATATGACATAGCTTAACCACTATGTCAAAGCAAGTGAGACTTCTGTGAAAAGTATCATCACCAGATAGTTTCTATTGCCAAAACTTTATCTGCCACCAGAGAGTCAATGCTGGGCTACCCTGATCCCAGGATTTGTTATTAAAGCCCAGCACACTGTTTTCTCCAAGATTATTGGGAAGGCAGAAGGGAAAGAAAGAGGCAACAGCTTGCAGGGAAGAAATAATTGTGGAAGAAAGGAGGAAAAGCATGAGCCTACTGTTGAAAAATCCCAATATTTGTCATTATAAAACCAGATGAGAAATGATGCTCCTGATATACAGATATATAATGCTTTCCAGGCTGCCTTTCCCACTGTGTGATAGTGGGTGATGTGTAAATGAAGTGAAACTCAGAAGTGATTTTAACTGAATCAATGGTTGCTCCCAGAAATTCACAGAATGCCTAGAACAGGGCTAGCAATTGTTTTTCTTACACACATCTATCATGCTGAGGAATAGCAGATATCCAGTCCCAGAACAGATTGCCTGTTGATAACAGAAATTAGGAATAGGATTACAATGACAGTAGGTACCCCCTTGGACCTGGAACTACAGTTGTGCAGTCCACAAAGTACGAGTAACATTTTTTTCAAAAGAAGGTGAAAATGAGCAGGGATCTATTCCCTGCCCATGCAGATTTGCATCTGCCTCTGACGTTCCATTCCAGATCATCTCCTCACATATTTTTAATACATTTTTATTTAAAGGAAAAACATCACTTAGTGGAGAAAAATATCAGCTACTAGGTTTCCCTCTAGCTATCAAAACAGCATTTGGAAAACTGTAATCAAAGGGCAACAATCCAGAGCAAATCTTTACTCATGAGGATAATTTTTCACTTACATAAACTGACTTAAATAGGGATACTTGAAAGAGTGAGCATTATTTCCCCAGCTAATGTTTTCTGAAACTTTGAGTCTTACCATACTACCTCCAAACCACAACATACAGAAATCACTGTTTGCAGTTTTGTTTATCTCCATTTGGCTTTAGAAGAAGCTGTTGGAATCAGAAATTAAATCGTGCCCCTAATTTCATGTGCCGGTGCTTACAACGGATTTTGTCCTGAATAGTAAATACAATCTAATGGGCATTCTGGGTCCATTTACCCTTTAAAAAAATCTGGTAAAGCTAATACTATTATCAATAGTAAAAAATAAATCAGACTGATGCAACTGAAATTTAAGCTCTGAACTGCTTGGCCAGTATATCTCTATAAAAAATATATTGTAGGCAGTGCCTTGAGTCCTAATGTGTTCCTTATCCTTAACTTAAATAGTCTTCCTTCCATGGGCTCACAGAGTTGCTCTGTTCTGAAACCAGGGAAATGGACAACAATTCTAATTTGACCTATAAAGCATTATATGGTATTATAATAATTATTTCTAAGTCAGAAGATTTACACTGATGTAAACAGTATAACACCACCAAAGAGCTTTAAACACATTTTCTGAATTTCTGGATGCCAGTTGCCTCTTTAAACTACAGCTATTGTATCTGGATCACAGATTTAACAGAGAAGTATATAAGAATTCTTGTAAGCAGATGCCATAATATAAAACACAGCTTTATTGTTCAAGTTCAGCATTAGATTTCTTATTTTAAATACCACAAGCTAAATTAGAGCTAGAATTCATAAATATTTCTTTTTACCTCTATTTATGAAGTTTGCAATAGATGAGTCAAATTTTCCTTTGAGAGTCTGTCTAATTTAAATTAGGTTCATCTTTGTCTTTACTATCATAAAAGGCATCTTTTAATTAAGTAACATTAATTATTAAATTGCACTAGAAAGAAAGGTTAATAATTTTATTCCTCTGTAGCTAGATGATGTCTGTTATGGGCACAGATGGAGTATTGTTCTTTCCTGGCTGTGTCATGGTAAAAATTACAGACTTCTAACATATATTAAGTACACAAATACATATAAATCCTGAGTATATGCACACTTTATTTCATTGACCTGCATCTACAGATTCTAAAGGTCCTACTCCATTTCATTTGATCAATAGAATCATAGAATCATAGAATCATTAAGGTTGGAAGGGATCTTAAAGATCATCAAGTTCCAACCCCCCTTCCACGAGCAGGGAACTCTACCAACTAGACCAGTAAGAAATGAGACACATGATCTGCAACAGCAGAGTAAATGCAGAATATCTGAGATGCATAATTAAAATCTGGACATTGATGAGATTATTTTAATTTTGTAAAAATGTTTGTATCTGTTATATCTACCAGTAATTTAAAAA